AGTGTCACTGGCCCTCATATGTGGGATCCGAACCGGGGCCCTCTGGCATCCCAAGCGAGTTCTTAACCATCGCGCCACTCGGCCGGCCCAAGTCTAGCACGTTTTAATACATACTTTTAAGATTTTGTAATAATCAAATTTCCTTAAATCCTTTCAGTTCCCCTTATAAATTTAATACATTGGATTTTTAAGTATTTCAGTTGCTTATGGGCAAATGAATCTCAGATACTTAAGGGATTCTTATTAATTTAATAAATTTAAGATGTTGAATATAATGAATCTTAAATGTTCCATAGCTCTTTACAAATTAATATTTTAATCTGTGATTATAAGTCTAAATCAATTACCCAATTTATATTTAAATTAGGATCACAGAATTATTTGTTAGAAAATTTAATATGACAAATTCTATTATATATAATGAATATTTACAATACCAAATATGTGCAAATTCTTTAATACAAAAAAATATTAAAATTATCTGTTTGGTTTGCTGCATTATTTCTATACATGATTCTTATTCTTCTCAAGGTAAAAATATATTTTCCCAATAAAAAAAACAAATGAAACATTTTAGGTAGTTTTGGAGATTATGTCCTCAGCTGGCTGAGATGCATATTGACTGTGGACCTTTAAGGGGATTTTCCTAACTATGTTGGCTGCCAGGAGGATTTGTCAGCATCCTCCATACAGAGTGGTCTCAAAGTCTATGCATGTCACAGTCTCCATTCCTCTCATGGAGATCTGCAACCTTGCATGTGTGGCTGCATCATTTGATTGATTTCTATTTTTATTTACAGTGTATTCTAAATTACAACAGTTTTTTTTTAATCTGGTAGGACTGCAATCCTCATAGATGTTTAAATGACGTCTGTTTGGATTCTGTTTGTCTCCCCGGGCTTTGTTTAATTCATTGGCAGTGGTCTGAAAGACACGCTAGTGAGAAAAGAGTGTTTATAACAGCCTTGTTTCTATATTGATAAATTGGAAACGAGATGATCAGCAGTGAACTGTATAAATAAAACATGGCACATTCACATGAGTGACTACAATACAGACGTTTAAGTGATATATATTTTGATGTATCAATATGACAAATTTTGAATAAATCTTAAAAAACACAGTGTTGAGTAATAAAAGCAAATTGCTGGAAAGTAAGCACCATATGTTATGATTTATGTAATATTTATACACAAAACTTAAAACTGTGCTCTTAGTGGACATATTTATAGTAAGTAAAGGTATAGACTGGAGGGTGGAAGAAAAATGTTTCATTTTTGTGTTTGAAACAATTAGAGACAGCTTTTTATTTTGAGCAGTGTGATCTGTAAGCAGACAGACGGCTAAGCTCAGAGTCTGAACATTTTTGACAAACTAGTGTGTGTGTGTGTGTGTGTGTGTGTGTGTGTGTGTGTGTGTGTGTGTGAGCTAATGCTGGTGAGTAAAATTTTCTCATAACAAATATATTCCATACATTAATAAATAAATAGTTTCCTAATACAAATATATTTTTAATGTGTTTGGTCATAACATTTTAAAGGCTCAGGACTATATTTTTGGGAGATTAAACAAAAACCTATTAATTAGTTTTTATGTTACTTATAGCCAAATACAAGCTTAACTGATATACCTCTTTCTTAGCTTTTTAGAGAAGAATTATAATCATAACAGTAATTTGAAGCCTCAAAGTAATTGATGTCAGCCATTAGTTTCTATTAAAATATCTTATCAAGTAACATTATGATCTATAATTTCTCCATTAATTTTAACCAAGTGTGAATCAAAATTTTGGATGGCTTATGATTTCATTCTATAAGACAGACGTGCACCAAATTTGTGATAAAGCCTGTTTCTAAAGTGAAGGATGAAGGAAGAACAGGATTGGGGAGGGGTACAAAGGGAACTTCAACTTTATCAGTAAGGTTTTATTTCTTTTATTAAAAAATATCCAAGACAAAGATGGCATTGGTTGGTTTGGAGTGGATATATGTTTTACAAGGCACCAGGTGTGCTGGAGCCAGGTTCTTTGGGGGGAAACCCACGGAGAAAGGATCAAAAGCAGCTTTAGGACTGCTACCCTCCTCATCTCTGCATTGCCTGTCACCCTCTGTGGCCTGCACAGCAGGAGGACTTTGACTCTTGGGCTGTGGAAGGCTTGGGCTGTGGAAGGTTTAAATGACCTGATATCGGAAAATCTGACCCCTCCCTGATGTGATCAAGAATCAGAATAATATTGCGGCATGACATGGCAGAGCATTGGCTCCAGCCCTATCCTACCAACTCAAGGCTTGTGGTTAGGGGTCACATCAGCCCATTGTCTGGATCGAGCAGGAGCCTGGGCTTCACGCCTTGCAGTTGGAACTGATATAGCTAGCTGTCAACAGGATTTACCACCATGTTAGCATTTATTGTTTTGTTGAAGCACCGACTCCTCTCATGGCCTGATGAGGGTTGGTTGCTGGGGGCCTAAGCCTTGCATTGAACTGAATTATGGTTTAAGCATTTGGCAGAAGCCAATTTCAGTGAGCCATGGCTCAAAGCAACTCCTTTTCTGGAGGCAGCCTGTAGAGAATTACTCTTGGATACTATTTCTACTCTTATGTTTCAGCGTACAAATGTTTTTCATCTTTTTCTCTGTACTTTGGGTGTCTACATTTTTTTCCACATTAAAGAAAAAATAAAAAAAGATAAGTGAAATATTAAAAATGGAGTTTTAGAAACAGAAATCTGATTCAAGAGACACTGAAGGCAGAAAAAATAGACCATTTAAGAAATACTTACTGAGTATGCACTGTTGACAGGTTCTGTTTTAGATACTAAGAATATAACAGTGAAAAAATTACGGTAGTGATTACTTTTGCCCAAGTGAGAATGAACTAGAAAGAGATGGGTTTGAAAAGCAACTTGCAACTGATTTGGGGTGTCAGGGTTTGAAGAGTGGGGAAATGCCAGGCTAAAAGGACAGGAACTGACTTATGCAATATTATCTAAGCTGTTTAGAACTCTTCAGAGTTTATAAACACTTTCACATACATTAGCTCCATCAACTCATAACAATGTTTAGAAGTGGATGCTAATATTTCCATTATACATTCAATGAAACTAAGATCCCCAGATATCAGTGACTTTCTTAAGATTACTTTTGCTGTGTGATAGAGAAAACTCCAGTCCCCTGCTTCCAGTTCCCATCTTTTCACAGTATCTTTTCTCACCTACCATCTTTGGTTTCCTTCTCTTTTACTCCTTTAGTATAAAGATAATTATTATTAAATGAAATACAAACTCCATATAGAAATTCAGACATTCTAGTCTCTCTAAATCAAGTACTAAAGATCAGGAAAGAACCTAAGATATCACTAAGATTAAAAGTTACTTTACAGGGCCGGCCGAGTGACTCAGTTGATTAAGAGCTCGCTCAAGAGTTTGAGCTCTGAGCAACAGCGGTTCGAGTTCCAGCCCGAGCTGAGCAGCCGCGGAGCTGCCAACAGGTGGCAGGATGGCTCAGCTAAAAAATAAAAGTTATTTTACAGAGGGCAAAATTCAGGTTTATACATTAAGGCTAAACAGGAGCTGCCAAAATTGTTCCTTTACTGAATCTCCTTATAAAACTGTTTATCAAACTTCATTAAAAGAGTCTTTCATAGGAAAGATCAGATTTATACTAGGAAGTAACTGTTACTATTTAAACTCACCTTGGTTTGTTTCCTTTTTACAATCTTATTTAATGCACTTTATATGTGTATCACTAACTTATAAATTTTAAATGGCATTTTAAAGACCACTTTACCTCTTAATTTGTATTTTATTGTGTTGTAATTGTGTGACTTCTTTTCTTTTCAGAGAGATAGGATAGACACTTTGCTTGGACTCAGGCCAAACCAACCAGGATAATTCATCATTACTGATATGTTTTTTGTTATTGTTTATAGAAAAAGGAACAGTGTTTAATAATCCAGTAGTCTGATTTGTATGCAGTAAGCTGGGGTTTGGATTTTTTTAAAAAAATTAATGTATAACTTCCATTTTAAATTAATGTAAATTTAGTGAACTTTTATTTCAGAGATATGTGATTAGTTTGTAATCTAAGCTAATTGTAAGAGTTTTGTTGGGATTTTCTTAATTTTTGAAAGCTATTCCTACTCTGTTTCTTAATCATATTCCAAGTATATGCACATACTTACAAAATATCTAAATATGTTAGAAAATTATTATTTCTTTAGAAGAAAAGCCTCGAAATTATTAGAATTCCTTAAACAAAAATCTTTATTAAGACAAAGTTTCATATGCTTTTAAATCTTCTGCCTTCCAAGCTTTCCAAGGATTTGTGAGTTATGCAGGTGTTAGTATTATGCGAATATTAGATTCTCATACACAACTTGAAATCAAATTTTATCCTCTTAGATATGAGTGCTGAAGCTATAGTACTTTGTTAGACTGTTTAACAAGCAAAAGACATGACAGCAAATGTCAGAACTGCACTGTTTGGCCAGCAGGCATCATACATACACCCAGTTCAGTGAGAAGAGTTAGCCTGGGGCACATTAGGGCACCCTCCTCTGCACGCCCAGAACCTGCTCTGGGTTTTAGGCCCAGATTTAAGTGGGCCCAGGGAGAAAAGAGAAAGTCCCTGATCTATAGTTCCTATCAGGATGTTATTTTATAATGGGTTCTAGGGCAGGCTTGTGGAAATAGAAGGCGTGGGAGGCAGTAACGCCTCCAAATATAGATTGCTAACAATCTGTTCCATGCTGTTTGTTTTAACAAGTCCTGGATTTTGTTAACTGAGGCTGTTGGACAGTATGGCCCATAAAGCATTCTAAGTGGAGAGGAAAAGATAAAGCATTTAAAACTCACTAAACTCTCTGAAAAAAAATATACATACATATTAAAAACTGAGAATGGAATCAGGGCAGTAGTAGGAAGTACCTTTTACAAGTATCCATTTCTTCACAATCTCCATTTCTTTGGGACCATCCTTTAAAAAAAAAACAAAACGCAAGGCAACTTTTAGGTGGACTAAGAGCTTATGTCAGGTTATAAAGATTATACATTTTCTACTGATATGCAAGTTGTAAGTCATTGTGATTCTTCTCTTTGTCTTTCTGAAAAGCTGGTACAACAAAATAAAAACTTCATTTAATTGAAAAAAATGTGCTTCTTTTCATTACGTCTTTTTGATATTTAAAATATTTTCACATATTATACTTCTCTTGCTCATCAAGCCTAAATGAAAAATAAAGCTATTTTATACATTTTGGATCCTGGGAAACTGATCCTGAAGCACTGAACCTGTTCCACTCTGCCTTCCTCACCCCTGATCTTACAGACTCTCCCTTACTTTCAGATTAGCATCTAATTTCTAAGATATTTCACCTGAGAGTTACAGGAAGCATTATTTTGCTGGCTTTCTAGGCTGGCTTTGGATTCTCACTAGTAAATTCTATTTACCATAAAATTAAAACAAAAAATGTAAGACTATGTTTTTTCGAGCAGTTGTTTTAGGTTTATCATACAATTGAAAGGGAGGTACAGAGATTTTTTCTTATACCTCCTGCCCCAACACATACATAGCTTCCCCACTTATCAACATCACTCACCAGAGTGGTGCATTTGTTGTAATTAATGAATTTACACTGACATAATCATGCAAAGTTCACAGTTTACATTAGGGATCACTCTTCATGTTGTACATTCTATAGGTTTGGGCAAATGTATAATGACATGTATCCATCATTATAGTATCATATAGAGTATCTTTACTGCTCTAAACATCACCTGTACTCTGCCTGTTCATCCCTAAACTCTCCCATCCAGCAACCACTGATTTTTTTACTGTCTCAGTAGTTTTGCCTTTTCCAGGATGCTATGTAATTAGAATCATACGGTATGTAGCCTTTTCAGATTGGCTTCTTTCACTTAATAACATGAATTTAAGGCTCTTCCATGTATGTTCTTGGCTTTATAGCTCATGCCTTTTTAGAGCTGACTAATATTCCGTTGTCTGGATGTACCACAGTTAATTATCATTCACCTGCTGAAGGACATGTTGCTTGCTTCCCAATTTTGGCAATTATGAATAAAGTTGTTGTGAATATCCATGTGCAGATTTTGTTTTGTTTTGTTTTGTTTTAAAGATTTTTATTAAAATATAGTTAACATAAAATATTGTATTACTTTCAGGTGTACATCATAATTATTTAACAGTACCCACCTGGCACTATACATAGTTATTACCATATTATTGATTATATTCCCTATGCTAAAGAAGCGATCACCATGATAAGTCCAGCAACCATCAGACACCGTCCCATGCTATCACAATATTATTGACTACATTTCCTATGCTGTATATTACATCCCCAAGACTTGTTTGTTTTATACCTGGAACTCTGAACCTCTTATTCCCCTTTATCTTTTCCCCCCTTTTTAAATTTTTCAATTTTACAGTTGACAGTCAATATTATTTTATATTAATTTCAGGTGTACAGCATAGTGGTTAGACATTTATATAATGTATGAAGTGATCCCCCTGACTAGTCCCCACCTGTCACTATACATAGTTATTACCATATTATTGATTATATTTCCTATGCTTTACATCCCCATGACTATTTTCTAACTACAAATTTGTATGCCTTTACCTTTTTCATTCTGCCACCTCAACCCCCCTCCCATCTATCACCCCAATAAATCTAGTACCCGTCTGACAGCATACATACTTATTATAATATTATTGACTATATTCTGTACCCTACAATCCCATGACTACTGTGTAACAACCAATTTGTACCTCTTAATCCCTTCCCTTTTTTCACCTACCCCTAACACCCTCCCATCTGGCAACCATCAAAATGTTCCCTCTATCTATGAGTTTGTTTTTGTTTCATTTGTTTGCTAATTTTATTCATTTGGTTCCACTTATAAATGAAATCATACATTTGTCTTTCACACTCTGACTTACTACACTTAGCACAATACCTGTAGGTCCATCCATGTTGTCACATGGCAAGATTTTATGTTGTTTTTTTTATGGCTGAGTAATATTCCATTCTATATATGTACCACATCTTCTTTATCCATTCATCCATTCAGGAACACCTAGGTTGTCCTCATAGCTCAGCTAATGTAAATAATGCTGCAATGAACATATGGATGAGCACATCCCCTCGAAGTAGCGTTTTGGGTTTCTTTGGATAAATACCCATAAGTGTGGTTACTAGGCCTTGCTTTGTCTCTTGTTATAGTCTTTGTTTTAAAGTATTTTGTCTGGTATAAGTATTGCTACCCTAGTTTTTTGTTTGTTTCTTTGTTTCCATTTTCATGAAATATCTTCTTTCATCCCTTTACTTTCAGTCTGTGTGTGTCTTTTGACCTAAAGTGAGTCTCTTATAGGCGGCATATATATGTAGGGGTCTTGTTTTCTTATCCATTCAGCC